GTACATATTGCCAACAATGACATTATTGTATATATTTCAACACTGGTAAATTAACATTGTCATGTTGGGTTGGTATGTTTGTGGCACACAGCTTGCCATGTTGCCACAAACCATTCAAGACATTGCTCCAATATGGTTACATTTGCAATGGCAAAAACATGACAATATACAAGAAGCACCTGTGACCATGTGTCTATTAGCAATACTTTTCAATATGTTGTGTCAATTTTGACAACATATGTTTTCCCGAATGCGTAGCGAAGGGTTCTCGTTTAACTCTGGGGGTCTGGGGGTAGAGTCTTGTTCGCGATCCGTTGTTTCTATGTTCGCAACCGTCCTCAACCGTCCGCAACCGTTCGCAACCGTCCGCAACCGTTCGCAACCGTCCGCAACCGTTCGCAGTAGGACGCTAAGGCGCTGCCATTGGGGGAAGCTTTTGCAAGTGACTTTTCATGGATGTGTCACGTGTCAGTTTGCGACGCTATTCCATTGTGATTTGCATGAAAATGACATGTCGCGCAAGAAGCGTGATGCACTTCGCTGTACAGGCGCAGTGGTTTGAGAGATCCGCAGTTTACTGCGCAGTTCCATTGGGATTAGCGTTTGGAGAGTCGTGTTTTTGGGGTGGTGGATGTGGCCGTGCCATTGGGATTTGCATTTCAGGGTGTGGCATCGAAGCTCTGTTTTCGTGACAAGTCTCAGCTGAAATGGCGATGTTGGTGGATGGGAGTGTGCTCAGAACGGGTCGAAATCATTCTAAACGTGTGGTGTGGTGCAAATTTTGTTGAAGCTCACGTGAGATGATATTCTCACTTTTCGTGGCAGGCACAGTACTTTGTGCTGATTTTGAGGTGTGGAAGTGCGATTTTCGTGGCAGGCGCAGGAAATCGGGAGGTTGCGAGGTGTGACGGAGGTGACATGTCGTGGCAGGCGCAGTACTTTGTGCGCGTTAGACGTGTGGATGCGGAAAGATTCGTGGCAGGCGCAGGGAATCGTGAGGTCGTGAGTTATGGTAGAGGTGAATGTCGCTGTCACATTGGGATTGGCGTGTGAGCGGGTGTCGTTTGGAGGGGCTGGAATCGCGAAATTGCTTGGCAGGGCTGCGTGATGTGTGTGCTCCGATGGGTGTTTCCGCTGGACTTTTGGAGGAAGTCTCGTGCGAAACGCTCGTTTTTGAGACTTGACGCGTGACTTTTGGAGGAAGTCTCGTACGAAACGCTCGTCTTGCAGAGGAGTGTCCCACAAGAGTGACCTACAAGAGTGTCCCAGATTGGCGCGACCTTTGGACGAGAAGTCTTGTATGAAATGCTTGCGTGTGTGTTCGGGAAACCCACATAGTTTATCACACGATCGACTGCAGCCATTTTGGGAGAGACGGTGCCCGCATCCTGCTGTGCGCTTTTGTCTCGCTCCGACATCGAAGATGCTCGCAGACACCTGCCTGGTTTTCCAGCCGCGGAACACCTACCGCGACCGACCCGCAGAACGCCCGAGGGTCGCTTTCAGTACGTCCCAGGGGCTTGGACGGCGGCTACGAGGGCGAGTGTAGTGACTGAGTTCAGGGGAACGAAAAGGAAGTACGACCCCACCAAGTGGTGTCAGCTGCGAACGGATTTCTGCGACATCTGGTCTCTTGTGCTGGAAGAGGTGGCCGCTCCCACGGCACAATTTTTCCGAGAACACGGGGCTCTGCGTGTCTTTGCCGCCGATGGTGGAGGCGGCCATTGCTTCTTCTTGTCCACTGCGGTCGTCCTGATGCAGGCGCGAGCAGTCCACCCACGACTCTTGAATCTTTTCACTTCCGATGAGGTGGCAGACTGGGACGACCGAACTACGGTTGCGGCTGCTCTCCGCAAGATTGTCGGGCGACACATGCGCGCCAAGACGCCAAAAGCATTCTTGAACTTCGTCGTAGGGTGTTTGGTGCGCGAAACTGCGAGGACATGGCTGGACGACTGGTCCATGATCGCACTCTTGCGTGGCTCTCCTTTTGCTTTCTTGAAAGACGCCAACGATGTCCTCGGAGCAGAAGTTACAGACGACGCCATGCTAGTTCGCTACAAAGAGGGCGACAGCTCCGTGACGAGGAGCAAGAGAGTGCGTTCTGGCACTGCGGCCCTGGTGTCTTTGCGGGATGCCGTGAGCACTGCTCTCGAAACTTGTGGGAATACTCATTGGGCAACGGACGTCGACTTTGTTGCGTTGGCCACGGAGCTCAATCTTGGCTTCATCATTGCTGGAAATACTTGGACCCAGACGTCTGTTGTTCGAGGCTCCGGTGACACATCTAACAAACCTGTGTGCGATAAATCCATACGAATGTTGGACTAATGACATAACCTATAGGATAGTTTTCTTCACTTCCGTTGTGTGTGTCTCATATACTTCTTGTCGACGCAGGCGAACCACAACAACGCACGGTCTTGCACTCCTATTTACAAGAAGATCAGACGCCGCAATTGTGGATTTCTCTGTATTATGTGGACGGTTATCATTTTCAAGTGCTTATTTTCGAGATTTTGGGACAATGCCATTGTTTCTTTCGTGCCGCGGATCTGCCAGAACCTTTACGCCAATGCTTGATTTGAATGCAAAACAAAGATCCTTCATGATGAAGACAGAGCTTGGTAGTGAAGTCCCCAGCGCATGCTGCCTTGGTGGTGGAGTCCCCAGTGCATGATGTCCAACAGCGTGCCGGAGCGTGAAAAAGAGATTCTGACCGTCTGTGTATCTTTTTGTACACAGTGGTTTGACGTATGTGTTTGCATTCGGGTTCGTGGGCTCCATCTTGTTTTTACAATTTGCACACATGTTGATGTCTAGTTCTAATTCTTTTGTATATGCATGAACAAGTGTGCACTGCAACATTTTTGTGGTCAGCTTTCATTTATCAAAACATGTTTTCAACCTATTTTTGTGAAGTTAGTAACATAGTGGTAGCAATGCTAACAATGCTAACTGTTAGCAGAGTTAGCAGTGTTAGTGTTAGCATTGTTATCTTAGTTAGTTAACTTTTACTAAAAGTTAATATCTTATATAAGTGTTAGCATTGTTACACCATAGTTGCAACTATGTTACAACTATGTTGTGACCCTGTTAGCTAACTCTCACAACTAACATAACCTGTTACAAAAAAGCGGACAATGTAAGTATGTCACCAGCAATTTGTGGCGTCAGATTGGGGATCACCTTGGGCGTCTGTCCATCGTCGGCTAACCATAGAAGGTCCCGGTACATCAAAATGGCATAGCCGGACATGTGGTTGTGGCCTTTGTGACAGATCAGTGCCACTGGGACGTACTCCTCTTGCTTCCTGGAGAATCCATCCAGAGAGACGGGCACGGTGAAGGTGCCGTGCTGACAAGGCCATCGACTTCTGTGTCTGAGGGCTCTCTTCTCATCCATGAAATACTGCCCCAAACCTTCATTGCGTCACGCTCCTGGAAGTGAACTTCATCAGGACAGTGGGCTGGAAAGTCGATGTGGATGGGCATTTTTTGGATGTGGTCTTTGAGGAAACCTCCTGGCTGTATCTCTGCGTATCTGTAGGTGAATGCCCGAGACTGAGTGGCCAGCCATAGGGTGTTCACGAAGTGGCTAGCATCCCCTTGCACATTGAGGTCGTGCTGCTCCCATAGCGTTTGGAGACCGGGTAGCCGTTGCAGGTCAACTGCCTCACAGGTTCGAGACTTTCTTGGACTGCTTCTCGGACTGTTCCCCAGGGTTGGAGGTTGTGTTCTTGCAGAAAAGCGCATAGCCAGGTGAAGGCTCTCCATGGAGCATTGGCAAAACATCTCTGGCTTGGATTTCCCACTATCATAGTCAGATTCTGCATCAGCAAGTCCGTTGACATGGCAAAGTCATAGAGGACTTGCTGATTCATCGTTGTGGCCTCCGTAGACGACCAGTCACATGGGAGTCTGGTTGACAGCTTTCATGTACTGTTCTGACAAAGTCTTCAGGCGTTGTTGCCCGTCTGTCAGCTTGCTTTGCAAGTCCTGCATGTCCTGGAGCATGGAGGCATACTGAGCTTTGACTTGATCAAGCTTAGTTTGCAGCTGCGTTTTCCGGATTGAGATTGTTTTCAAATCCGTGACCTGTGTCTTGAGCTTCTGGGGGGGGCGATCTCTTTCTCAGTGCCCGGAATTGGCTGAGTGAGCTTAACACAACTTCTTGTACCGCCTGTGGGGGTGCGGTCATGTGGGACTTGAGGAGTTTTGTCAACTCCGGTTCATAGCCAAGTGCCTGAAGCTTGGTCTGGATGTTTTCGGGAATGACATCCCATGTCGTGGCCAAGAGATCGGCCGCAGTATGCTGCTCTTTCTCCTTCTTAAGGGGCCTGAGTTTGGTGAGGCGTAGAGGTGTGTCCAAGAGCTGTTCCCCATGCTGCTTCCGAGGCCATGTAGTCTTACCATGACCTTGCTGTCTGGGATGTCCATGTCCCTGACCTTTGCCCTTGCCAGTACTGGTCTCTGGCGTCCACCAGATTCCGCATTTGCGGCGCTTGGTGCCTGGCCTGACTTTGTCCGCCCATTGCATATCCAGTTTGAGCATTTGGTGCTCCTGCAAATCATGTAGTTTCGTCCCCACTGCATGATTGTGGCACCGATCTCGTTCTGGCCTGGAAGGTTCTTTAAGATGTAGGGATCACGGGCAATGTGATCAGGTAGATCAGAAAGTCCCCAAGGCCGGAGGTGCTGAAGAGCAAGTCAAAAGCGAGGAAGATGATCTCGTTAGATCACGGGCAAAGGAAGGTTGTAGGTGTCCTTGTTCCTGAGCCGTGCGGGATGTCGTAGTCCTCGCAATGCTTGCTTGGGGGTGCCGCACCAGGAGGGCTTCGTGGGCTGCCTCCTTGATCCACTCGCGGCTTGAGCCATGTATGTATGTATGTATGTATGTATATATATATATGTATGTATGTACGTATGTATGTATGTATGTCGGGATTTGATATGTGGCGGATTCAACAGAAGGATTTTAGTGGAAATGGCCCCCCGTCCAGACCGGCGCAAGCGACTTTGCAGTAGTTGATCAGGCTTGCTGGTATTAGTTTTTCCTGGATAGTTCTGCTATCATGGCGAGTGATGCCTCTGACCCTGCGGGCTCGTCCGAATCGCTGCTACTAGCCATTGCACGAGACCTTGGCTTCAAGAGACCGCCATTGACCCTGCCAAAGGATTGGAGAGAAACGCAGGGCAGGGTGAAAGGAAGCCAGCTCACCGTTGCTAATTACACGTAATCGCAGATTGCTGCGTGTACTGGAACTTAATATGATCGTTTGAAACTTTTGTCACAAATGCTGCAGTGCTCGCAGGAGTGCTTGACGGAGTTCGTTCTGCCAAAGGGCAGGGCAACATGTGGCCTTGTTTGGAAGCACGGTCTTGGAGACGATGAAGAAGGCTGGGCAGACATGTTGGAGGACAACTTTCGAGTACCTGCAGCTTGCGGATCATGCAAGTTTGTTCTACCTCGTGCACCTAGACAACCATCAAGTTGTAACGGTGGTGACGTCACTACAAGCTGGTTTGACATTGCGGACTTGCCGATTTCGCGCAAGAGTTCAGCACCCTATGGCTGCTCCCTGGAAGAAGCACTTTCTTCCTGTGGGCGAGTGCACGCAGCGATTGACAAACTCATCGCGGAGGGAATCCCTTCGGAACGTATCATGGTCGGAGGCTTTTCTCAAGGTGGGTCAATGGCAACTCCTCGGCAAGTGTATATAGATTCTTTTTTGGAGTTTATTGCGCTGGCCATAGTGCAGCGGCGCAGACTGGGGCAGGCTTGGAGGCAACTTTGAAAGTAGTTCAATGTAGTTCAGAAATGCAACATTTACCGTCGTCTGACTGGCGCAGGCTTTAGTTTACACCAACATCTTTGTCGCGCACTTGTCTCTGTCTGAGGCAATGCTCTCAACCTTGACCTATCCGAAACGGCTTGGTGGCATCCTAGCCACCATGGCTGCAAACATTTTTGTGAGGGTAGCAGACCTCCAACGACCTAAAAACCTTTCATATTCTGTGGTTGATTTGCATCATGATCTTCAACATGAGCCGTTGCAGAATTGCCAATTCCATTGGTCCAAGGTATTCAGTGGAATTTGTTTCTTTGGCGATCTTCTGAACAAGTTGGCCCAAGCTCCTCATTGCAAAGAGCTACAGGCCGGGTTTGTTGAAATCCAGGTCGTTGACATAATCATAATGGGACAAGGCAAGAAAACAAACCTCAGGTTTTTTGGGGCCACGGAACTCGTGACGAAGTTCTTGCTGCAGATTTGCAAGATGAGGGCGTGGAAGCATTACAAGCTGCGGGCATCAAAGTCACAGCAAAGATGCCCTACTTGCAATCATGAAGTTGACTAAGTCAAGGAACAGACAGCATATCAAAACCTTTGCCAATATCCAACTGAGGAAGTATGCGGTGGATCATGGCCCCACTGAGCGGGAATTGAAGGATGCGCTCGCTTTTTATGTAGAACATCTCAAGTCCTAGACGAAGCCTTTGGCGAGAGAGAAGGGTGGAGAGAGATTGGGAGCCACTGGAGGGAGGGAGGGAGGGAGCCTCTCCTTCCCTCTCCTTCCCTCCCATTTCCCCCTCCCCCCTCCCCCCCCTCCCTCCCCTCCCTCCTCCCTCCCTCCCCCTCCCTGGGATGGAGGGAGAGGGAGGGAGGGGGGGAAGGAGGGAGGGAGGAATGGAAAGGGAGGGAGGGAAAGGGAGGGAGGGAAAGAGAGAGCGAAAGAGAAAGAGAGAGAGAGAGAGAGAGAGAGAGAGGAGAGAGAGAGAGAGAGAGAGAGAGGAGAGAGAGGTGGCTCAAGCCATTTTGGCTCAAGATTTGGGCTCAAGGGTCAGGTGGCTCAAACCGGTTGGGCCTCACCTTCGAGCGCAAGGGCACTGGCACCCCTTCCCTGCGGAGACCTTTGGCTTTGAGTATCACTGCGGTGTCTTTGCCTTTGCTAGTGATCCGAGACGGACGAGCGCTTTGACCAGATCTTCACCAACGAGATGCAGAGTTGGGACGGCTTCAGAGCCGTAAGGCCCCGAAGGGCCTATCTTGTGTGCAAAGGGTGTGAAGGAAGCTGGATCTGGGCTGATCGTGTGAGTGATCAGCGGTGGTGCTGTGATCATTGTGGACAGCAATGGCCTGCTGGCCAGCAGCAACGTGTGTCCCCCAGGCCATCACGTCAGAGGACACGCCGAGAGAGGGCAAGGAAGATAGATGCACCGCCTGGATTGGGGCCCAAAGACAAACAAGTGAAACGCCCGGTGGATGACATGCTCAAGAAGAATTGGGCAAGCCTCTCGGAGGATGTCAAGAAGGCGCTACAGACAGTTGGGATTGACTACACCCCACCACCAGAAATGCAGCCCTTGGAAGAGCTCCTCAAAGCGCATCTCGAAGATCTACCCAAAGAAGTCAAAGACGCAGTGACGAACCTGGTGACACCAGTGAAGCAAGAGCCTAAGGATGTCACCTCTCAGCTTAAGGTGACGGTTGGGGAACTTCGTCAACTGTCGAACAAAAAAGCTGGGCTTCAGAGGAAGGTAGACCATGCCAAGGAGCAATACCGGACCCTATTGGATGAGCTGAAAACCGTCCAAGAGTTGATTGACAAGGAACAGCAACAGTTGAGTGCTCAATCTGAGGCTTATGCCAAGATCCTGAAAGAGGAGACCAAGGAAGCTCCTGGTGCTGTTGAAGCTGTTGATGAGGACGTGAATGATCACGTTTTGAAGGCATTAGCTCAGGTTGGCATTCTGTACACAGAGACTCAGAAGTCGGATCTTGAGCGGCAGCTGGCTGAAAGCATGCTCAAACGCCGCAAGAAGACTGAGAGCCAGTCGTCGGGGTAACCCCAATGACAGGCCTGTGAAGGAGCGTTGGACGATGAGCAAAAGGACCAAGCCTGCTGAACATCTTGATTTGGGGTCGATGTATTCTGCAAGCTTGGGTGGAGCAGCATTGGGTTCAATGGGTTTGCAAGCACACAACCAAGAGTGTTTGAGTGTTTGGTTTGATTGGGATGGCATGTCCACTTGCAGGGGAGCAAGCAATCATGCTGAAGAATTTGGAAGTTGGCGTTTTGCGGCTGACCATGAGAACTATGCTTGTGAAGGCTCTCAAGGGTGGCAGCCGTATGTTGCATGTGGAAGAGATTGGGTCACTCCTTTTCCATGTGATCAGGGCATTCCTGTACACACCATCAATGTTGGGGTTGATGTTCAGTTTTCGCAAGCTGTAGGCCCGGGGGTGGCCATGGAGGGTGAGATGCATGGAGACACGTTGCTCACCTACAGCAGTGCCAATTGCCTGGGAAATGCACAGACCCCGGGTAGTGACGATGTACATCGGGATGGGCAGGAGGTTAGGCTCTCAGCTTCCTCTGGGACAAAGATGTTGGAGGATAGGCTGGAGCATCGTCCTGCTCAGCAAGGACCTGCTGGGACCAGCCCTGGAGCACCGAGCTCTACGTCGTCTGAGCGGCCGGGGCAACCTGGACCTGCTTCTTTCGGGACTCCAGAGTTTGGTCAGTGCCAGCAAGAGCACAACAGAAGAGCTCGGCGAGATCAAGTGGCCTTCTTGGGTGGAGGCAAGCGGGCTCGTGCAGATGAAGTGTGGGTTGATGGAGAAGATGAGGAAATTGAACAGACAAGTCCAGGCATGCTTCAGCAGCGACTGATTGTCCTGCAGGAGCGGGCCATGCAGGCCATCCAAGCATTGCCTGAGGCTTGCCGTGAAGACTGGGACTTTGGCATGCCTGAAACGAGGATTTGGGGGCTTGAAGCCCTAAAGCACATCCTACGCAGTAGGTTGGCGCTTCAGAGCAACTTGATGTTGTGCAGGCCGGTGGAGCATCAACCAGACATTCCACCGACAGCAGAACTTCTTGCTGCGAATTTGACCCTCAACATCCAAAACAAAGGCAACCGATGTTTTGCCAATGCAGTGTTGCGCATGTGGTGTTGGATGGGTGCTCATCATGCAAACCCTGCTGAGTTTTGGGGGCAGTCGACAAAGCTGTGCATGCAGATTTTGCAGCAAGATGACATCCCGGACATTTTCTGGGCTTCGGAACTTCAGCCAGCTCTTGCAAGGTTGGAAAACCCACAACAGCAACATGATGCTTCGGAATTTTTGGTGCACCTGTGGGAGTTGTGGGGGCAAACTGGTCTGCAAGGCAACTGGTTTTCGCACTTTGGGGGTCGATGGCATGAGTTTGACACCATCCCTCTGTTCATCCGGATGCCACCGGAAGCTGGCTTGGAGGTCCAATTTGAGGACCTGTTGAAAGAATGGGCCAATGAAGCCAATGGCCAAATGCTGGGGCCGGATGTGGAGCATATAGTGTTTCATATTGGTCGATACTCCCTTTGTCAGCAATCCAGGACATGGAAGAAGCACAACAATGTTTTGCGCACACCTTCCACCTTTCGCTGTCCTCAAAGAACGCAATCTGGCCATGGAGGTCACTCTACGTTTGTGCTGCGTGGCATCATTGCGCATCAGGGTGAAGAGCTTATCTCTGGCCATTATGTCACTTTGTTAGTTGAAGGGGAAGCTGTATGGTTCGTTGATGACGGCAGATGTCCTGAAGTTCAGAAGTTGGTGCCGGAACAGATCAAACAAGGAGCTGTAATGATATGGGCATCCAGAGCAGAACAGTCAAACTTTTGGTCCACCACAGTTGGCAATTTTGCACCACCGGGCAAAAAGCCTCGCCCTCCGCAACAGGAGATTGACATTTGCTATGCCAACATCACTCAGTGGACGAAAGATGCCAAGGAATGGGTGACTCAGCAAAACCATTCCATAGTCATGATGGTTGAAACCCATTTGACTGGGGTGAAGCTTGAAGCGGCCCATAATGATTTGTGCCGTCAGCGGTGGCAGCCCACTTTGTTGGAAGCCTATGAAACTGGCAGAGGAGGCAACAGTGGGGGACAGCTTTTCACTGTGAGGGAGGGCCAATCGGCCTACAAACTCCACTCCTATGACTTGCAGGGCAATGGTTTTCTGGCCAATGTGCTCCAACGACAACACCTGGAGCTGGTACTTGTGACCCTGTATCTCAAGTGCGGAGAAGACTTGAACTCCCATGCCAACTCCACGATCCTTGGGCAGCTGGCGGCCTTTCTTCAGGAATTGGCCACCCCGTGGATTGTTGCTGGAGATTTCCAAGTGCCACCTCTGCAGTGGGATGGCCACAACCTGCTCAATGTCTTGAAGGCTGAGATAGTGTGTGCAGGTCAGCCAACGATGATTAGTGGAGCAGAACTTGACTACTTGCTGGTCAGTCGGAGTGTGGCTCCTTTTGTCCGAGTCACAGTGAACTGGGATGTGCCATGGAAACCTCATGCGGCTTTGAACATTGCTGTGGACAAGGAAGCTCCGACGCTGCTGTTGCCGCAGCTGACTCACTACATAGCGGTGCCCAAGCTCGATGACCAGGTCCAGAGTTGGGAGGAGTTTGCGCCCTCACCAAAAGTCTTTTGGTTAGGCCGCCCCACAGGGCCCAAAGAGATTCAGTATGCGGAGTGGTGTCATCAGGCGGAACAGTTTGGTCTTCAGAGGCTGCATGAACCCAAGATGGGCAGAGGCTGGTATCTTGCTCTGGAACACAAGCCGCTGCCAATGTCAAAGCCACTGAGTCCGTGGAAGAAGGGTGACCTGGCATACTGGGGACAATTCTGCTCGTTGTTGCAACACATTGCAGTGCAGCCATGCTTGGGAACTCGAACGCTGGCTCATTTGCGTGCCAAAACTGCCGACCTGGATGCAAGGTGGCAAGATGTTCATGGCCATCAGGAATTTCAACAAGGTGTTGTTGCTTTGATTGCTGGTGATCCTACGCCCCTCACGTTGCTTATCAAAGGAGCTGAGTGCAATCGGGATTTTGCCAAGAAGGTGGCCCTGGATCAACAAGCCAGTGACTTTCAGCAATGGCTCTCGCAAGCTAAGCTCCGAGGGCACAGTGGCATCTACAAATGCCTCAAGGCTCCTGACAATGTCTATGTTCGGCCTTTTCGTGATGTGCCAGTCCAGCAAAGGCAACAGCTGCGGGAGCAGCAATGGCATGGCCGATGGGGAGTCATCAGTACACCCCTTGCGAGTGGGGAGCGAGAAAGGCTGCGATGGGAAGGCATTGTCCAAGCAAGGAGCTGGGAAGATCTTGATCCGCGTGAAGTGATGAAGAAACTTCGGAAGCTTCCTCAAAAGGCTTGTGGGCCTGATGGCATTAGTTATGCATTACTCAAGAACCTGCCAATCGAAGGAGTCATTGAAATGTGCCACATGCTGCGGAGGTGGGAGTTGGCTGGGCGTCTGCCTGACCAAGTGTGTACCACTTTGGTTCTTTTGCTTCCAAAAAAGGTGGACATAGAGCGTCCCATCTCGCTGACGAGTGTGATGTACCGCACATGGTGTCGCCTTCGGTGGGATAAGCTTCGACAGTGGCAGACAACAATTGGACAGCGGCTGCCATGGGAGCGAAGTTTACCTGGTACACAGGTCCTGCAG